TATTAGGTACGACATATATATATATATATATATATATATATATATATATATATATATATATATATATATATATATTCATTATTATTTACGGTTGGTAGTAGACTGCCATATATTATAGCCTAAACCCCATTATTCTCATTATTAATCCATTAAACAGAAATGTAATGTTTAAAGTAGCATTAGTGGGTCACAGCCAATTACCCACGACACTTAGGCCTATCCCTCATACAGAGGTAACAATCTTCTGGTGACTAGGAGCAACTACTCATAATTTTTATAACAATCCTGCATTAACTCTATCGTTAGAATGGTCTCACCATCTATCCATTATATATCTCGGTGGTAATGATATCCATCCAACTTGGTACCCAGCTGAAATTATAAACCATTTTACAAATATCATCAATTATTTTAAGGAAATTAGCAACTAGAAAATTAGTGTTCACATTAGTGGAACATCGCCAACTGAGGAGTAATAATCGTGGGGGATTAAACCCTGAATACTATCAGCGCACAGCTAAATATAATAATTTTCAGCTGAGGAAAAGAGTGAGGCTGGACGCCACCTATATTCATTTTACTGCCAGACCATATCATGATAACTTGGCTCCAGACAGAGTGGCACTCTTAGAGCACCTGCCATTCCAGTTGAAACCACACTGCCAGCGAGGTACCCGCAACAGCGTTGGCAGCTGAACGTGAATACATCTACGTTTGCTTGTATGGTGTCTGAACTATTCATCTTGTTTCTGCATTATGATTAGTAGCCACTGTTGTTCTGGGTCCGGGGCCATAGCCTGAAGTGCTACTCTGTGGTAGAAGCTGACGTGTCTTCTCACTTCATGTTGTGACTCTGGCGACTATGGACACTTCCCTCCTGCCTGCTGGGGACACCCACAGTGACCCTTCCCAAAATGCTTCAGACGCATTTGCGTCCATTTCGGACACCTCCCAACATGACCCACAGTACGGACAAACACTCCATCCCCTTACATCCCTGTATGAGGAGGGACCAGCTCAAGTGATGATGCAACCTCGGATGGTAATTATACTGTACACAAAAGCCAGAATACCCTACGCAAAGAGGAAAAGTTCACGAAAGTCAACAATGCTGTCAAGATGACCAATATCACCCCACAAAGGGAGGGGGGACCACGACCTCCTCTAGCAGCCCGTAATAAATATGCCAGGCTGGCATTTCCATCTAAAGTTACCAGTGCCTGGAGGTACTCCTGGATGAAACGTGATCTCTCTAGTGCTTATGCTGACCCCATAGACCTCATAATCCCTGGACACGCCTCACCCTACATCTATGTAGCCAGGTCCGATGAAGTCACCATCTCGGCCCTACTCTAAGGTCAAGTGAGTGGCATCTCATTCAGTAAAGCAGACTCTCCTGGGGGCTCCAGGAGATACAAAGAGTACCTTGTCACATTTCTACCCTCGTGATAACTTGACATGTCCTATGCGAAAGAACTACCAGGTGTGTACAGTGCAAGACGCATCAAGTCTGGGGGGAAGCCACTAAACAGGATTGTCATCGTCTGGGAAAATGAGATGCCACCCCCCCCCCCCAGTCATCACAGGTTCCTAGGTTCCTACCAACCAGCCAGTCCCATGACACCCTGGGTGTCCTCAGCTGTCAATGTGTTTTAAATGTCAACACTTTGGTCACATAGCCAAGCACTGTAAATCTTCAGTCACCTGTGCCTTCTGTGCAGGCAACCATCCCACTAAAGAATGCCCCAATAAAGACCAAGCCTTTGGGACCGATGAAACCACATCCTCAGCCACCAAGCACAAGTGTTCCAGGTGCTTGCGGGAAGGTGTGACCGCCTGGAACAAAGAGTGTGTCAAGCGTCCCACCTCTCCACAGCACCGTAGGGCAACCCCCCACTACCCCAGTCAACCCCTTCACCCGGGGATGACCCCACCACTACACCAGCCCGCCCCCCACCCGGGATGATCCCACCACCGTTCCTGACACCAACAGCCTGGCATCCTTCCCTCGCCTACCTGGGAAGCCTGACGCCAGCCTGCAGAGGGAGGTGTTAGGCCTTCCAGCTCGCATGAGTAAAATTGAAATTACCATCTGTAAGCTCCAAGAAAAATTCATGCACATTGAAAATGGTCTCAACAGCAATTATGCTAAGATCAACATGGACAACCTGAGACAGTGTTCAAGCGATCCTCTCGCCAGCCCGAGGAGTGAAGTGAACGTCAAGTATCTAGGGAAATGCCTTCCAGTGATGTATGTGTTGACACGTCTCATGCAAGTATTGACCCGTCCTCCAGTGCTGAAAGTACCGCTGTGGCGAGTGTAACATATGAAAACCCATGTGTCTTAACTGTAATTAGCAAATGCACTCAAGAACTTATTACAAACAATACCTCTTGTACCTCTATGAATCTTGTTGAACGTGAAATGATTGTAAATGCTAGGAAAGATGGAGGCAAACAACTGACCTTGTCACAGATGAAAGAACTCTTTGCCATTGATGACTGAACAATTGTCACTTGTACGCAATAGTCTGCAACTTGTGAACCTTGTAAACACTTCTCTTCGTCAGGTTTATGAACACCATTACCCACGACCAACTCTCTTAAATTTCTCACGTGGAATGTGAGAAGCGTGCAAAGGAGGCTGTTTGATCTAATGATGTACGCTGGTGCCAACAACATTGATGTACTGTGCCTGCAGGAACTGTAGGCACACTGCAAACACAAAAAATAAAACGCCACCCAAACTCTCAGGTTATGTAGCTTTCTCAAATGTTGCTTCACATGATATCGGTTTCTTGACGTATGTTAAAAGTAACCTAGTGTGTAAACATATTAAAAACCATAAAAGGGACGACTCATATTACCAGCAGTTTCAGATAGATACAGGGACCGGCTTTATTAACTTATTTAATGTATATGTAAGGTGCAATCAAATGGTAGAAGCTTCTCTTCCAAAAATCACCAGCAGCTCTCAATCCATTGTCATGGTTGATTTTAATGCTAGACACACTAGCCTGGGTGACACCAAAACAAAGAGGAATGGCAGAGTCTTTGTGAAAAACTTAAGAGATAATAACATGTCCGTATTCAACTTTGACTCCTCTAACGTCACACACCTCATGGGTGGCAGGCTTGATTATGTCATTGGTCACGGTCTCATTGATAATGCTGTCGGAGGATTAATTGTTCACGAATTAGTTAGTGATCACTTTGCCATATTCAGTTCATACACTATCAATAATGTCAAATCCCTAAGCTTTGAAAAAAAAATAATTAACATCCCTGAAAATTTACACATGCACTTCAAATTCCGCATTTCTGAATGGTATAATACTTACTGTTTTACTACTGTCAACACATTATATGAAGGCCTGGTCACTGAAGTAACCGCTTTTTATGACAATGTTGTAAAATCCACAAGACCGAAAACAGTGAGGAAGGGACAGAGGTGGTTCACTGACTCACGCCTTAAGCCCCTGCATGACAGTTTTATTCCTAGCTGAGCAGTATAAAACACATAAAACAACTGACACCCTCACCATATTTCTTAAGGCCAGCCAGGAGTTTAGAGAGCTAAAGGAACAGATGTATAACCAGCACTGGGAACAGTTTTTGCAAGACATCAATCATGCAACATCCTCATCCCAAATGTGGAACAAAATTAAAAAGATTTCTCATCCTAGTAATCGTCAACTTGATCACCATTCACCTGTAGACTATGCGACATGCTGCTTCAACAATATGCAAGCCCTGCCAGTATAAGCTGTCTGCCCCTAGATGTACAACACCATATGGCTAGTACCAAAATAAATCATAACTTCAATATTGAAATTGCCTGTAGTGAGAAAGGGACTGATGATAACTTTGGCATAACCCCCTTTGAAATTAAAAATGCACTCAAGAAAGGTAAGGCTACATCTCCTGGAGAGCATGGCATCACATACAATACCATGAGAGTACTTGCTGAGCTGTCAAATAGCCCTTTGCTAGAATTGTTTAATCAAAGTCTAAGGCAGGGTGTCTTACCTGACCGCTGGACACAGGGACTCATAATACCCATACCGAAAGAACTACCAGGTGTGTACAGTGCAAGACGCATCAAGTCTGGGGGGAAGCCACTAAACAGGATTGTCATCGTCTGGGAAAATGAGACGCCACCCCCCCCCCCCTGTCATCACAGGTTCCTAGGTTCCTACCAACCAGCCAGTCCCATAACACCCTGGGTGTCCTCAGCTGTCAATGTGTTTTAAATGTCAACACTTTGGTCACATAGCCAAGCACTGCAAATCTTCAGTCACCTGTGCCTTCTGTGCAGGCAATCATCCCACTAAAGAATGCCCCAATAAAGACCAAGCCCTTGGGACCGATGAAACCACATCCTCAGCCACCAAGCACAAGTGTTCCAGGTGCTTGCGGGAAGGTGTGACCGCCTGGAACAAAGAGTGTGTCAAGCGTCCCCCCTCTCCACAGCACCGTAGGGCAACCCCCCACTACCCCAGTCAGCCCCTTCACCCGGGGATGACCCCACCACTACACCAGCCCGCCCCCCCACCTGGGATGATCCCACCACCGTTCCTGACACCAACAGCCTGGCATCCTTCCCTCGCCTACCTGGGAAGCCTGACGCCAGCCTGCAGAGGGAGGTGTTAGGCCTTCCAGCTCGCATGAGTAAAATTGAAATTACCATCTGTAAGCTCCAAGAAAAATTCATGCACATTGAAAATGGTCTCGACAGCAATTATGCTAAGATCAATATGGACAACCTGAGACAGTGTTCAAGCGATCCTCTCGCCAGCCCGAGGAGTGAAGTGAACGTCAAGTATCTAGGGAAATGCCTTCCAGTGATGTATGTGTTGACACGTCTCATGCAAGTATTGACCCCTCCTCCAGTGCTGAAAGTACCGCTGTGGCGAGTGTAACATAAGAAAACCCGTGTCTTAACTGTAATTAGCAAATGCACTCAAGAACTTATTACAAACAATACCTCTTGTACCTCTATGAATCTTGATGAACGTGAAATGATTGTAAATGCTAGGTAAGACGGAGGCAAACAACTGACCTTGTCACAGATGAAAGAACTCTTTGCCATTGATGACTCTGAGCAATTGTCACTTGTACGCAATAGTCTGCAACTTGTGAACCTTGTAAATACTTTTCTTCGTCAGGTTTATGAACACTATTACCCACGACCAACTCACTCTTAAATTTCTCACGTGGAATGTGAGAAGCGTGCAAAGGAGGCTGTTTGATCTAATGATGTACGCTGGTGCCAACAACATTGATGTACTGTGCCTGCAGGAACTGTAGGCACATTGCAAACACAAAAAATAAAACGCATTCAGACCTATTTCTCTGACGTCGTGCATGCATTCTTGAGAGGATTATACTCGACAGACTAATTAAAAATGTTTTTGACTAATGACTAATGTTTCAAATCAAGCCCCATCTTGTTCCTAACTTGTATGATTTCCTTCCTGGAAGAAGCACACAAACTTGCTTAGATGAATATTTTATCAGAGAGGGGCCAAGCTCTCAGGCGGCATTTATTGATCTCCAAACCTGCCTTTGATACAGCAAACAGAGAAATAATCTTAGAACAACTAGCCTTTTTTGGAGTTCAAGGAAGACTGTTGACATGGCTCAGGGGTTACCTGAGTAACAGAACCGCTTCAATCCTTTTCAAGGGGGGTCAAAAGTAAACTTGTGCTCTCTTTGAGATAGGTACACCCCAGGGTGGAGTGCTAAGTCCTACACTGTTCAATGTTCTGATGCACAAATTAACAATTGATATTCTCACACTACCTGACGAAGCCGTCATCTGTTATGCCGACGACATATGCATTGCTGCAAACACCCAAACTAGACTGCAAACTCTATTTGATTCACTCGCTGCTAAAAGCATTGAATGTGGTCTTGTTATCTCTATAACTAAATCCAGAGTTCTCCATCCCCAAAAGAAAACTCATGTCTCTATAACTTTCAAGGTCAACAACCAGAACATTGAAACGTGTAGGCAGCACAAATACCTTGGAGTTGGTATTAACAGTGACATTGTAAACGATCTACACCGTAGGGTAAAAGAAAGACTAAAACCATTGAAAACACTTAATTGTAAGAATATTGGTATCAATATTAAATATGCTAGACTATTCGATATGATGTTTGTTAGATCTCTCATTGATTATAATGCTTTGCACTTAATTAATTTCTCCTCCTCTATGTTGGACAAACTTGAAGTAGTACAGAATGAAGCCATGAGGATAATTCTTGGTTCCCCAAGATGCACAAGAATCATCAACATGAAGGAAGAACTGAAGTGTCCAACCATACTTCCCCTTCCCCGCTCAGCTCATTGATGCCGTGAGGGGGGCTTAGTGGGCGGCTGCCGGAGTGTGATGCTCCTTGGGGCAGTCCTCTGTCCTTTTCTAGCCTTGTGCTCCTGCTGCCGTCCTCTCCAATTGTGCTGAGCACCTTTTCCTTTTCCTTCTGTTTCGTTTTTCTCCCCCCTCTTCTCCTATCTGCTTGTCGTTTCCTGCCGACCTTTTGCTTGATTTGGATCTTTCTTTGAACTTCTTCTATTTTGACGCCCGGGTGCTTGAGGAGGCATACTCTTGCACCCGTAGAACTGTTGTACCCGACGTCTCGAGCGAGGGGAACCTTTTATTGTCAATCCCCCTTTCGTCGCTGAACCCGATCTCGACGGACTGACGGTTCTTAAGGTGGCGTTTGTGGGGCGTATACTCACGACGCACCCCTAGGGGGCCCCGGCATGATCGGCGATAACTTCCTGTTGGGTGTCCTGCCTCTAATTGTGGCTCCATGGTGGGTAAGGGGGCACATTCGTGGATGAATTTCTTTCTCTTCGTCTCTATGTCGATAAAAGTTTCCGTTGTACAACTCTCAGGCTCGTGGGGTGGGCGACCAAGCCCCCGAGTCGGCCTGTATTGGAAGACCAGGCTCTGTAGCGTTGGGCCCCGACCTTGCTCCTCCTTTGACCATCCTGACTTTTTCCCCCAGCTCCCCTCCCTCCTCTGTGGTTGGGTCGAGCCTCCAGCCCCCAGTGGTGACCACTTCGTCCCCTGGTGCGGCTAAGTCTCTCGTTGTGACTACTGCGCCTTTTAACCCCTCTCTCTCTGGGGGTTCTCAACGCCGTTCGCGCCCCGGCCGCACTCGCTCGATTCCTTCCCGTACTGCCGCGTATCAGACCTTGTTTGGTCCCGCTTCATGGGCCAAATACTTTGATCTCCTCCCTCTTGATTCTGCGCCTCCTGACGATTTCTCCCTCCATCGGCATCTTGTTGATTCCGTGGATGCGTCTGTTACCTTCAACCCCACTCGTCTCGGTACACGTGTCGTTGCTGCTCCTTCTCAGGATGCAGCTTCCCGCTTGGCAGCCTTGTCTTGCCTTGGCGAGATTCCTGTTCGGGTCTCCAAGAATGTTCAGATGAATGCCAGTGTTGGCACTATTCTCCTCCCGCCCCATGTTACAACCGGTGTTCGGAATCTGCAGGATTGCCACAATGATATTCGGCATATCCTTGATGCCCAAGGCCATTCTGTCCTCCAGGTTGACTCGTTTACTCGTCCCCCTCGTGGTCGTCGCCGTCTACCCCTTCGTGTTGTGAAGATCACCTTTGATGGTAGGACCCTTCCATCCTCTGTCATTCTTGCTGGTGCTAGGTTGCTCTGTCCAGGAGTATATTCCTTCTCCTCGGCTGTGTAACAAGTGCTGGAGGTTTGGGCATGGTGCCCTCCGCTGCTCTGGGACTCTCTCTGTCCTTTGTGTGGGGGTGAAGGTCACTCTAAGTCGGAGTGCACTTCTCCCCCAAGCTCGCTGCCTCAACTGCGGTGAGGCCCATCCTACCTTCTCCCGTGCCTGTATCCATTACAAGCTTGAGGCAGCCGTCCTCAACTTGAAGCACCGGGAGCGTTTATCTTTTCCTGAGGCGAGGCGCCAGGTTCGCCGGCTCCCACTTCATGCTAACGTCTCTTATGCTCACGTATTGCGCTCTTCCTCTCCTCGTCCTTCCCTCCTTCCTCAGACTCACAACCGTTTCCGGGCCTTGGACCCTGATACGCCCACTGCCCCCTCCTCTGTTCCTTTGAGTTCTGTCCCGAAGGGTCCCCCTCCTGGTCCTCTGTCTGGGGTCCCCTTCTTTCTACCCGGTCTGTCGTGTCTCCTGTGTCTTCTTCCTCGTCTCCCTCCGATCCTCCTTCCCTTCCTCTTCCTCCATCTATTGCCTCTCCCCGCCGCCTGTCGGTGCAGGCGGATGTCCATCGCTCTCCTAACGGCCGTCGTGTGTGCTCTCGTTCAGCTTCTCCTGTTGAGACACTGGAATCCGTTGCCCGGTACATAGTTGCTGGGACACCGGTCTCTTTAAGTCAGAAGCGTAAGCCTGGCTCCTCTCCTTCCTCCTCCCCGGCAGGTAAGAAGGCTTCGCTTTCTTCCTTGGCCCCTACTTCTGGCTCTGTTGCTCCTTCCCCTCCCATTTCTGTGCTTGCGCCCCCCTGTTCCTGCTATGGAGGTTTCTTTGGCCCCTGCTTCCCTTTCGGTTGCTGCTCTTGCTGAGGTGCGCTCCCCTCTTTCTACTCCCCCTCTTCCTGCTGCTGTCCTTGACTGCTCCTCTTCGTTGTCTCCTCCTCCTCCTCCTCCTCGGACCCCGCCCGCCCACCTCTGGTCTGTTCTCCCGCTTCCTTCCCTCCGTCTTTGCTCAGTTTACCCATGCCCCCTAACCCTGACTTTGCTGACCCTGATATTCTTTAACGTGCTGTGTTGCTCTTTCGCCTTTGTTTCTTCCTTGTTCTCTGTTGTTGTCCTTTCCCTTCTCGTCGATGTCTATTCTTCAATGGAACGTTCGAGGTTATTATGCCAATTTCCTCGAACTCCAACTTCTGATTTCGCGGTTTTCGCCCCTTTGTGTCTGTCTCCAGGAGCCGATGCTTGGTGCTCGTCCTGGTCGTTTTCGTGGCTATTCCTTTCTCTCCCCCTTTCTCTCCTAATTCTTCTGCTCTCTTGATCGGCGCTGATGTTCCCTTTGTTCCTTTACTTTTTCCTTTGCCTCTCCATTGTTCTGCTGCTCGTATCTTTGTGGGGAAATGGTACACAGTTTGTTCCATTTATCTCCCCCCGAGTGTCCCGCTTTCTCTTCCTGATTTGAAACACCTCTTGGACTCCTTGCCGGAACCTGTGCTCCTGCTGGGTGACTTCAATTGTCGTCATTCTCTTTGGGGTGATGTTCTGACGAATACCCGGGGTCGCCTTCTTGAGCCGTTTCTCCTCTCTTCTTCCCTGTCTCTTCTGAATTCTGGTGAGCCCACTCATTTGGACTCTCGGACTTGCACCCTTTCCTGTCTTGATCTTTCTCTCTGCTCTTCTTCTCTTTACTTAGATTTCACGTGCCAGGTTCTTGATGACCTCCATGGAAGTGATCATTTCCCTATCCTTGTTTCCTTTTTCTCGTTTCGCCCTTCCCTCTCTTTTCCAAGGTGGCAGTTTGCTAAAGCGGACTGGAACCTATTTACCCTCAGTGCTGCTCTCTCTGACCTCTCCCTTCTGCCTCTCCCTCGCGCTCTCCTCCTTTTTCATGACACTGTCTTCACCGCTGCCCTCCGCTCTATTCCTCGCTCTTCCTCTCGGGGTCCGCGGAAGTGCGTTCCCTGGTGGAATGCGGATTGTGCCCGGGCTGTCCGCTGTAAGCGTGCAGCCTGGAAGAGGCACCGCCGTCGGCAGACGGCCGATTCTTTTCTTTTCTTTCGGAAAGCGAGTGCGGTGGCCCGTAGGGCCATCCGTACGGCTAAACGTGAATGTTGGGCATCTTATGTCTCAACAATTACGTCCGAAACTCCTCTGCCCCAGATCTGGAAGCGTATCCGCAAGATAGCGGGTAAGTTCGTTCCCGATGTTTCACCGGTCCTTCACCTCCATGATACTCTTGTGGCGGACCCTTTGCAGGTCGCTTCCGAACTGGGTTCCCACTTTTCTTCTGTTAGCTCTGGTCTGCGTCTTCCCCAATCTTTCCTTCTTCGTACACCTGT